TTCATGGCAGCACACAGACATCTACAGCACAGCCTGTATTTATTTTCTTGCAGAACATCTCAGAAGTACCTAATCCATCAACAAATAGAAATAAACTCAGCCACCTAAGCCTGCAGATGAGCAAGAGTGCTCTGACTGTCTTACAAACAGATCTCTCTTATCACCAGCTTCATCGGGAGCTGTGGGCAATCTGGATTCCACCACACCACAGACAACAGCTGGGTCCTCTCTGACCTCTCAGATGTTGTGGAGGCTGGTGGGATGGTTTAACATGCGCTCTCCTCCACACCAGAACTGAGGTCGAGGGACAATTTACTTCCCTTCTTGCTATGGGAGATGCTATGGTACTTGCATTTCAACTCTGTCTCGGTAAAAGAATATTCTCTATGATATATTTATTATTTTAAGCAACAAAACCCGCTGCCTTAAAGCCTACTGATTTGGCTGCTAATAAACATTGTGAACTGGAGCAGCATCTGAATTTCTGAAGCAGTAAATCCAACTCTCAGCTACAAAACTGACAGCTCTCATAAAAGAAAGAAAGAAAAAAAATTCAAGTAAAACATCCTAAGGAAATTATCGTTCAAATTAACTGCAGACATAAATTTATCCATCTGTTATCATAAGTGTTACTTGAAAATTATTTGCCCATAAAAATGAAATAAGCCAGAGTGGATTTTTTTCTTAAACATTGACTTCATGTATGGTCTTAGCTGCCAAAATATTAACTCTTTTTAACAGCCCGTGTGCTCTTGGCTGTGTGTTTCTTTCTTGACTGTAAATGGACCTTTATAAATTGTCTGTATAAATGATGTCTAAGGCACTTCACTGTTATTACAGATCAATAATTCCAAGTAAACCATCATGATTTTTAAAACACAAACCCCAAGCAAATGCCCAAATTTTACTTGGAAGTGCTCTATTTAGCTACCTTTATTCATTCAAAGGGAAAAGTTACCCTATCCATTAAATGAAAAACATCATTTAACTGCACAAACAATAACTGCTGTTTCATTCCTAGGGTACAGTTACAGGTATGGTGGGATTTTCACATTAAGTCTGAACATGGTAAACACTGGCAGGAGTGAAACAAAGTCCACAGAACTGGGTACAGAGCTGGGTCTCTTTTACCCAGAGCCTGTATTTTTCTTGGAGAAGAGAAAGAAATTAAAGTAGAAAGAAAAAAATTGCTATTTTCACTTCTACGTGTTTTATAAAGGAATAAATTAAAAGTCTGAATTACTTCAACACATTTAAATAGTGAGTAAAGTCATGGAAGACAGAAAAGGCAGAAATCTATTGAAAAGTCTATTTTTTATTTTTAAGAATGACAGAAAACTGAAAAGTTCCTTTTAGAATTGTGTAATTTTTTTTGTTTGTTTTAATACTTTTGACTGGAACAAAACCCCCCATCTTTCAGCAGCATAAAAAAACTTTGCTTCACTTTATGAAAAACTGTTTTATCTCAGCCTGCTTGGATATTCAAATGTCTGTCCCCTGCCTACTCCTTTGTCCCCAGAATTTGTCTTTTGGATGTTTCACAGCCTTGTGCTGTTACAGGCCAGACTCGGAACCAGCTCTCCTATGATGCACCACAAGGTCTTTGCAGCACAGCTCTAAGTAGCACATAGTGAAATTTTAGTGGGAATCACAGTTTACAGGAGAGCAATGACACCCAAGCACCTGGGATTTTGACTGAAATCTGCAAAAATGGACTTGTTTTTACAGAAGAAAACAGAGAAATTTTGTTTTCCACAAATGACCATTTTTTACCAAAAAACCAGACACCTGCATCCTCCAGCTCAGTAGCACCAGGCTCCTGCACCACCAGGCTGCCAGGATATCATCTTGTTTTTCATTTGAAGCCACTCACTGGATTTGCTTGGGTTTTTCTGTGAATTTTTTGGTTCTATAGTCATGGAGCAGGATACACTGAGCCAAACCTAACTGCAATTTGCAAAGACACCTGCGTGGTGCCTTCTACCTTAGTCAGGCTTATTATAATAATTAATTATTAGATGCTACAGAACTACTCATCCACGGCACTGAAATCTTACAGTAAGCTGAGGATGATGCTCCAAGAGAACAGCAGAGCCTCAGTTGCTGCATGCAGCTGTGCAAAAGCCAGGTAAGACTTCCCTAGAGCAGCATCCACAAGGTGCAGCTCCCTGCAGGGAGGCCACCAGAGGGACAGGCAGGGCTCAGCCTCAGGAGGGCTGTTTTCTGGGAGAGATCCTATTTCCCAGCCCCTTGGCTCCAGTTATACCTGGGAGTAACAGGATACTTCTGAGTCCATATGAATCATCCTGCAGGGCTCGGGGCTCCCACCTAGAGCAGCTCTGGTCTGTAGAACTGCATTTGTTGAAGGGTTTCCAAGGTGCTTTTCTCGTAACAGGCTTATTTTCTTACTTAGAAAAACACTTATTTTCCTAATTTTAGTTGGCAGCACAGTTTTATCCAATTCTTCCTTTCCCAGAAACTATGATGGAGATTATGAAATTTGGAAAACAATTCATAATACACATATATAATTTAATTACTATTCATTCATTAGTTCAAATATCTTCAGAATTAAGAGATTAATGCAAAGATCATGCTTGGCATAAAGGGCAATATAGTCTGAAGCACATTGTCCAGAGCATTTTTTTCAAATTATTTCCCCTTCATCATGACAGTTTTAGAGATGCAAAATCTTAAATTGCATTGCTCTGGAAGCAAATAAACTCCCACAGACTCTATCATTCCTATCCTAACTGAAAGTGCATTCCTAAAATTTTCCACTTCAGAATTCATGGGAATATGTGAAGGCCTCAACTTTCATCAAAAACATCCTTTAATTTTATAAAAGGCAAAACCAAACCCTCAAAGTTTTATAAGACAATTTGAATTCATGATCCAAGCACATACCAAAGAAATCCCTCAAAAGAAAAGAACTAGATATAAGAATGCAAAATAAAAGATTTATCAGTAAAACCCACTCTTCAAATTCAGCGCATGGAGGAAAAGAGGAAACAAAAATCCTTCAAGAAAAAAATCTTGCAGTTGAATCATAGGAGGAAATGAACTTGCCTGCACTTTGGTCACATAAAAGTTTTGGCACTGAAAAAAGTTAATATTCTTAGTGTTCTCTGCATGAAGAAAATAACACCCCAAAGAAGAAAGAAGGAATTAATTGTAGTTAAAGCATGGATAGCCTGCAGGGATGGCCCAATTTGGTGAGAAAAGCCAAAGGGAGGCTGGAACAAAGAACCCAAAACAAAAAGCTTTCCTCAGCATCTCCCACATCCCAGTTTTCAATAAACCCGTGTGTCTGTTCTGTCCTGCCATGCTCAGTGCTGGGGGAAACAAAACAACCCAGCAACAAAAGCAGTTTTCAACATCACCAGAAATGGGCCTAAAAGACAGAGTGAGACTTGCTCTTTATGAGCCAGCTTTCCCAAGGGATGCTCCCTGACAGTTTAAGGTAGGTGCCCTCTGATGGGGACAGGGGAAGAAAGCTCAAACCTCCTGTAAGTTAGAGGTGTCTTTCTAAAGAATGTAACGTGGAATTAGCATCCATCCATTGGCTTAATTTCACCTCTGTTGTTAGCACAAGCAAACAGCTGCAGTAGGTTGGATCCATGACCCACCTCATCCATGGTCTGTGGACTAGGTGTAGAGCACTACAAGTGGGCAGTGATACCCAGTTTATCCCCTCAGCTCCATTTATGTACTGGTTAAGGGATTTTCAAAACTGGAAACTGTTATCTAAGCCATCATGTTCGATAATCTCCAGTAAACCTTGGGTTAGACAGGCTGGTTTTTATGAATGCCTGTCCAATTATGAGCCATCATGATATATTTTCCTACTGTAAAAACAGTTAAGCAAAACTTCTTGGCCAGAAATATCAGCCAAGCCTGAGATTAAATAAGCTTGGGAAAATTCAGTCCGGATACACTCAAAAAATAAATACATCAAAATGCACGTGTCTCTGCTAAAACCCACAGTCTTTAATCAAAATTCCCACTGAAGTGAGTAGCGAAAGGTGAGTTGTTGCCAAAGTTCATAGCGAGAGCCATGGGATGAGAAGCAAAGTTCTGTCAAAAATGAGAAATTGCCAAGGAGAGGGAGCAGGAGGAGCAGATTGGTTCTCGACACAGCAATCTCAGCCTGCCTTGAAGTCAAGGGAGGCTCAAAGAAACACTTAGCTGGTGCTCAGGATTCTGCTGAGCTGGGGTTATTATTTATACTCTTAATATAAGAGTTATTATTTATACTCTTATCACACAGAAATATGAATTCCATTGGACAAGGGAAAGGAAATAAAAAGGGGAGAAAGGGGACAGTAGCATGTACTGTCGCAGGCTCACAGAAGTACTGCAGATATCTTTGTTTTGCAGACTTCGGGGAGAGCATTAAACAGGAAGAGGGACACTGTGGATTTTTACTTCATGGTTTAAACTGCTGGTATTTAGCTACACACACAACTCACGCACTTGTGCAAAACCCCAAACAGCCAATGTGTACAGACACAGCACCAAAGCAGCTCAGTCACCCATCGAGAAGGTTTAACTGCAGCAACCCCTGAAGGTTTGAAATCCTGGGCCAATGCTGGAGCCACACATGTGTGCCTGTGCCACCAAAGGGTTTGGGTTCTGCCACTCACTGCCATCAGCACCTGGGCTTACAAATTCAAAGGCAACTGAACCATCTTCTACACCCGTGGCCAAGTAGCCCACAGGTCTGGGAAGGGAACAAACACAACAGCATGAAAAGTGCTTACAGCTTCACATTTCCACAGCCAGATGGAAAACAAAGTAAGTGCAGCCTGTGTGCAACCTGCCTGGACCTAGACCCACCTCCTACAACAGCTCACTTAGAAGTGGGTGTGGACAAACATAAGTCTTTCAAAGGGAAGCCTTGTAAGAAATTTTCCCACAGGCTGAGACCTAAAGCATTCCAAACACTTTACTTCCAATCATAGTAACAGAGTTAAACAGAAAAAAAAATCATGCCATACCTGCTCCAAAGGCAAAGAAGAAGCTCTTGTCTCTGTTCTCCCTAAGAAGTGACATCACTCTTCTCCCCATCCTCTCATTCCTTTTGTAGATGAGCTCCTGTCTGAAGTAGCTGTCTATTTCCTGAGCTGTCACCTGCTCGTGGGGTGGGAGTGTTGTGTTGATGAAGTTTGGCACCTGAAACAGAGAGAGAAGCCACAACCCAGGTGGCATTGGTTAAGGAACACACAAAACACTGCATGTTTTAATCCAGCCTTCTTTAAGCCACCTGAGCACCACTATCACACAACAAACCACTAGAGGATCAGAGCATGGGAGGTTGTTAGGGACTCTCAAAAAAAAAAAAAAAGAAAATAAATTCCCAATGAATATACTCTCTTTAAAAAAAGTGAAACTAGTACTTTACTACAGGAAACTTTAGTTAATTTTGATTTTTCTCTGTCCCTTCATGAAAAAGTAGTTTCAGGTGTTACACTTGGGTGAGTTACTTGGACCTTTATTCTCTGCTTGTTCAAAAAAAAATCATTGGCTGTTTAATACCAAATTCCTGTGATCTGTTCTTAGCTGAGGTCACCATGAACTAAGCAAGGACTGTAAGATTTGGCTTGTATATGTGACTTTTTAAGAACCTAACAGTTTAAAAAGAGGAAAGTATATCAAATACAGACACAGGAAGATGCACACAGGGTAAACCCCCTTATCTTTACATGCTATTAGGCCTCACCAGAGAAGACCATGCATTGAAACACATAAATCCCTGGAACATTCCTGATATATCCGAGGAAGTGATTTCCACAAGAACTGCTCCTTCAGTCTCTGCTTTTGTGAGGAGAGATGTTTACAGACACAGCAGAAAGGCTCACCAAAGCTCAAGGACTTTGGTGAGGGCAGCAGACCCAGGAATGAGCCAAGACCCAAGCTGTAATGGACAGATAAGCCAAAAGTCTCTCATTATTAGGACAACAACTTGTTTTGAAACAGTGAAAGTCCCAGGTCTACCACAAGGGTTTGGGAGCCCACATGCCTGCAGAGAGAAGAGCTGTAAGGGGGCAGTGTTTGATGATTGCTAACGGAACCCAAGCACTTTCTGGCGATTTTCTGTGCCTCACCACTGGAAAGCAGCTTAAGCTGCAAACCCCAGGTTGAGATTTCTGAGTCCCTAGGTACATGTAAAGCTGCCAGGATTTCCAGTGTTAATCTGAGTCAGTGGTAATGACATCGCATGCATGGCCCATGAGGGGAACATCCCTCACTCACTGTGCTGAAACACTTGGTACAGTGACTCTGTTACTTGGGTTAATTCCATCTCTGGTTTTCTACTACACAAAATTCCTGCACTCATTTGCTAAAACTTGCCTTTGGTTTTTGTTTTTCAGCCCACCTCTTCCTGTTTCACTTGCTCACATGGTTTTATCACAATAATTTTTGTTTCTTCCCACCCTCTTTGCTTATACTGCTTCTCCAAAAGTTTTCAGCAAGTCTTAGGGAGCAAAACTGATTTCCATTTTCCCAGTGACTCTCCTTAAAACTTTTTCATTGCAGCCCCATCTGCATTACTCCTAATATACATGAGGGATCAAGCAAGAGAGATTTCTCACCATGTATTATGCAGGATGAGTCTACACCTCACTCTGGATTCACACTAAAGGCTGTTCCCAGTTGAGTGAGACAGAAAAGGGGACCACATCTCCTGAACCAGGGGATCCAAAGGGGATGGAGATGACACTCCATGTAAGAGACCCTATTGGGTCTCAAAGACCAGCTGGACCTTTGATTTTCCAAACTGCTTCTCAACCTGCTTTGCCAAATCACCGTGCTCCTCACAGCATGTCCTTCTTTAAGGGTTCAGTAACATTACCCTGAGTCATTCCTTCCTCCAGGCTTTCCAGCATGGCTTGGCATCACCAGTGTAACCTGTGAACTCCTCAGAGCATGCAAGTACTTTGCATCTTGTTCTCAGTTTAGCCCTGAGCCAGCACTCAACAAGTAATAAGTCCCATTAAGTCAGACCTCTTGGAGACACCAGTTTCCTGTGAAAGCCCAAGGAAGTTACCTCTGTGTCTGGCAAGAATACCTGTTTGTCTCAAAGGGATGGAGGAGCAGACTGACGGTGTCAAAGAGATAAAATGCTGCTGGCTACAGCAGCAAAGGACATAGTGGCTTCCATTCCTGGTGAAAAACAGGGAGAGATTTATATTGTAGGAATCAAGTCTGAGGAATGAGTAGCCATTTTACACTTGCAGTAACATCTGTAATGCAAAGCTGCAAATCAATTTGTCCATGGAGATATCACAAACCTTTGCATCTCCTCTATACTGGGACTCTCAGGCAGGAGGTCAGGGAAGCCTTTAGGCACTGAAGTGGAAGGTGACATTTTGTGGAAGCATCTAAAGACTCAACACCCACATAAGAGAAGTCTCTTCTTCCCTGCTTCTGGCTGAAGGCTGGGACCTGGTTTTGAATCACTTGAGATGCTTTGGGGAAAGCAAGGTACAGCCTTGCCTGTGAGCACAACCTGCTCCTACACAAAGCAGGAGCAGCAATGCTGGGGGACCAAGCAGCTTTGTGCACCTCACTGGTGATGGAGGTCTAGATACCCAAAAAACAGATGTTGTATAAGGTCTTTGCCAAGAAGGGAAGCACCTTTCACTGCCTTGTGCAACTCCATCACTTTCAATCCTAAATCCACATTTAACCTATAGTTTGTTCCTTCTCTTTATCTAACCTAAAATACAGTACACAAAATAGAGACATTTACTTCCCTTTTTTTTCCCACCTTCCCTTTTTTCCTTCTCTTCTGTGGAGAAAAGTTTGCCAATGGCAGAGAGATAAACTTAAAACCAAGGACTGGGCTTTGTCAATCTTCCTTTTGCTAACCCAAGGAACAAGACAAATGAAGGCATCACCTAGAGGGGCACAGCATCAGCTACAGGTCCTGCTGCACTGTGTGCACTCCTGCATTTCTGATGCCTGGCAAAAATAAAATCTGCATGTGTATTTCAGCGTGTGTGTGGCAGAGGACAGAAGATAAATGACTGCAGTTAGTATGCCCCTACACAGTAGTGCAACCACACTCTGAGCTGTGACACTTGCCCCATTAATCACCTCTGCTCCTCCCTGTATCCAGGTCCTTTCCACAGCCAGTGACATACACCATGCCTGGCTTCAGGGAGACAGCTGCTCCTGTTCATTTAAGAAACCCTTAAACCAGACAGGGATCAGGAAGTCAAGAAACAGTCACACACAATTAGAAAACTCTTAACTGGAGCCAGGATTTAAGTTCGGGGGGTTTTTTTGGAAAAGAGAAGATCTGTTATTTTAAAAGGATGGGCTAAATATGCACCAAAAGGATATACCTTCCCCCTTCTACTTTTATTTTGTTTTCATTCTCTGAAAAAATTAATTTTAACACTTTAATGATATGAATCTATTGGTTTTGAGCTGAGAGGGAATGATTGAGATATTTGCTGTGCCCCTGGGTGAGGGACTGATCTAATAATACCTGAATATTGCTACCAGTATTTAAATGTACAATGGAGTGGATTATGTGTCTGTTGAAAAATCCAAACTTCTAATTTTGCTGTTTACCTAGGAGTGTAACAGCTGGATCAGGAGAAAAATGCATCACCTGGGGTGTGCTCACTTCTGGTGGATATGCATGACAAGAGATAAATAGATTCTTTACATCCAGTCTGGAAGCTGTGCAGTTTTCTGAGAACCCAACCAACTCATATTTATATATAATTCTAGTGGAAACTCAATAATGTATCTCACTGAGACATTCAAAATAAAGAATATTTTGTTTTACTTAATAAGGTAGCAATTCTTTTTTCTATTCCCTTTTCCTTTAGGTTACAGCTTTCCTATGGACAGCACAGATAGACCACAAACTCAGTCATTAGGTACACCCTGCATTTCTTAGTTAAACTTTTAAGGTTAAAGAAAGGGACTGTGAGAATAAAAAAGAAATTCCAGCCTTGCAAAAATTTCTTCCCCTCCCCACTGTCTGTGTAGTTTTACTTGAGTCAGTGTCCCTGATGGAATATATGTGTGGATAAAGCTCTGTACACACGTCTGAGCTCACAGTGCTGTGGGATGTGGGCCATAATTCTTCACCTTTGAAGTCAGTGGGAGCTTTAGGGAGAAGAAAGAGGAAGGATTGTGGAGTGGTTATGACACTACCCTGAAAAAATGGTTCTGCTCCCATGGGTGATACAAATCTCTTACATGATCACAAGCATGTCATTTGGGTTTAAACCTTCAAAGGAAACTCAGCACTTAACCTCCACTAAGTGTCTTTGAAGCATTTGGCTTTATTCCTCCTGTGTCTCAAAAGTCCATCTGTAAAATGGGGACAGAGACTTTCTAAAAAGACTTTCTACCTTGATGTTACATACAAGGCACTGGCTCAGTCTAGCTCTGGAGGGACCCAAAGGAAGACCCAAAGTCCAACACAATGCTCAGCAGTAACCTCTCTTCCCATAAATTTCCACAGAGTCTTGGATTCTGCTGCAGTCATTAGCATAAGAGCTAACAAGATACTTTAACTTAGAAAAATGCACCAGCCATAACTCAAGATCTATGCTATGCTTTCAGCTTTGTCTGTAGAGACAGAGAGAAAAAAAAGACAAAAAAAAAAAAAAAGAGAAAAGCAAAATATATTGGTGCAGAGTCTTTTATCACATTTAGGGCTTACTGCCAAAGTTCAGCTGAAAATTCATGGACATGGGACTACATTAAAAGTCCATTTTTTTAATTTACTATTTTTTAATATTTGGACAAATATTCTGGGCAGAGGCACAATGCCAGAGTTGTGAACATCTATCTGCAAATAATTTTTTTTGAACACACATAAGCACCATCATCTTTGACTACTTTTTTTTTTTTTTACTTTGGATTTATTATCTACAGTGGAACTGCTCTAGACTCAGTCCAGTATCAAATCATTATCATATGTGGAGTAACAGTGTTATCGTTCCTACTCATGCACTGCATTTCCCAATCCTCTGATAACCTTGTTTAGCCTCATTCTGTTCCAGTGATGAGACTATTTCTGGAATGTGAATTCAAATTGCAATATTATGTCAATCAAAAAATAACATTACCAACAATGGAATAAAGAGCTGTGTGCCTTTCCTCACCTGCTTGTGCACAGAGGTGATCTTCAACCATAATTC